TCAAAAATCACAAACATGTCTACCATGTTCGCTTCGACCAGGAAAATGAAAAAGCGACAAAAATGTTCCCAGAGCAAAGAGTGCAAAAAACTACAATCGAATCAATACAATAATCGATTAAAATAGACTAAAAAATCTCGACTGTGACGCCATCTTTCGGAGCTTACTGAAACGTCAGAAAATCCAACTGTCAAGTAACAACACGTCGATAATTAACTTTTCTGTAATGGTGCAAAAATGCAACGTTACAATATCTGCAAAATTTGCTTGCAAACGGGCGTATTTCCAGACTCACTCAAAAAGGCGATAATACACCGGATTCACAAGGGAGGGGACAGAAACTGTGTCAACAACTACAGACTTATATCTGTTCGGTCTTCGCTCTCTAAAGTTTTGGAAGGATTCTTAACAACCGGTTAATAACTTTTCTAGAGAAATACAAAAATATGGCTCACAACCAGTACGGTTTCAGGTCAGGCATATCAACAAAAGATGCTGTACTGGAACTGACACAGCTGGTCGCTGGGAAGCTTGATAACGGCATTAAATGTATGGGGATATTCTTGGATCTTACCAAAGCATTTGACACGGTTTCTGTTCCCAAACTTCTTTCGAAAATGGAGCGCCTGGGTGTGAGAGGCATTGTACTAGACATATTGAAGGATTACCTAAAAAATCGCACCCAGTGTGTTAAAATTGATATGTACCTAAGTGATGAAGAGCAGTTGACTTACGGTATTCCGCAGGGTAGTATACTTGGCCCTACCCTCTGCCAGATATATGTTAATAACATGTGCACGATGGACTTTCCAAACTCCAAGCTATAAGCTTATGCCGACGACTCGGCAATAATAGTTTATGGAACTACTTGGGATTTTATTAAAAGAGAGGCAGAAACTACTCTTGTTAAAAAAATGAGTTGGTTAATCTCTAACTTGTTAACCCTAAACTTAACCAAAACTGTTTTTATTCCCTTTGCCATTCGACGTAACACCTCCCCGCCTTCTTCTTTTTCACTAACTGTCCATTCAGGCACAGACCAATCCGTGTCTTGTTCTTGCCCGACACTCAGTAGGACTGATAGCGTTAAGTAGCTAGGTGTCCGTATTGACGATGCACTAAAATGGGATAAACAATTGGATGCAATACTACTCCTGTAATGCGTCTCATTCACATTTTTAAGACACTCAGGGAGACTGCGAACAGCGCTACATTAAACTTAGTATATAACTTAGTGTATGCAAATCAATTATAGGATACTCTATGGTTGTTTAGGGAGGAGCAAATAAAATCATTTTTTTAAGAGTAGAACGAGCACAAAGAGCTGTACTTAAAGCTATGACCAAAAAGCCCAGGAAATACCCACCTACAAAATTATATTCAGAATGTCGAGTACTAACAGCACGTCAGCTCTTTGTGCTCAAATCGATCCTTAGGAAGCATTCGAGACTACCCCCTGCGGACCCTACGAAGCGAACAAACCTTCTCCCAGGCACCCCACACGATACTACATTTGCTAAACATCAGTACTATACGCATAGCAGTCATTTATATCAGCAAATACATAAAAAGTTAGGTATTAGAGATCTTAACATTTATGAAGTAAAGTCTAAAGTGACCGAGTGGTTACAAAATCAAGACTACTTCCAAACAGTCTCTTTTAAAATACCTCTCATGACCCCCCAAACACTCAAATACACACACACACACACAACACATACACACACATACACTCACACCATAAATATATCCACACAAATCGAATATATATATTATATAATGGATTAAGAATTGTTTGCCTTAATGAAAGATCAACACTGCTTTCCAACCTGTTGTATAATTATTTTAGTGTAAACTGATAGCCGGACACTAGCTCGTAAAATACAGGAATACCTAGTTTAAGAGATAGCGTTTATTATTTTGGTACAGATTATAGCAACTAAGGACTAAACACAATGCACTACCGTTAATTACTATCTAATCTGTAGTTCTTTTATGTACAAACTATATCTGTATTTCTGGTAACTAAAGATTATTATTATTATATACGAGTATTATTTGTTGTTATTTTACACCGATTATTTCGTATTTAATTTCATTCATGTATTGCATTATCTATTTTTATTATTATCTTTCCTTTTGTCAGTCATTGATAGTATTAAGGACCTCCCTCCTGAGTAAAGGCCTCCTCCATTTTCCCCCACTTGTCTCTGTCCATTGCCTTTTCCGTCCAGTTGTCGCCCGCTATTTTAATAATTTCGTCGAGCGATCTTTCCATTGGCCTACCTCTACAACGCTTGCCCAATGGACCGTTCCATGTGGTAACCCTTTCTGTCCATCTCTCACTGGCCATGCGCGCAACATGGCCGGCCCATTTCCACTTTAGTTTTTTGCAGTGATGTAAAGCGTCTATAACTTTTGTTGTATTTCTTTTTTTGTTGTATCTCTATTTGTTCTTTTATGTTTTAGTTTTAGTTGCAAAGTGCTCCGTTCTATGGCTCTTTGGGTTGTTCATCAATCATCATCAACAGCCTTTACTACTCCACTGCTGGACATAGGCCTCTCCTTAGGAAGGAGGTTTTGGCCTACTATACCACGCTGGCCAGACGGGTTGGTATAGGGTTTGTTTCCAGGTTTCCTTCGCTCCGCAGTGCTGTTGTCCTGCGTAGTTTGCTTCCTTAGTCACACCCACGGGATGAATAGGGGTGGTGACACTCTGTATTCTTAATCCGTCACCACACGGAAGTTGGGGTTTGAGTTGTTACTATCTTGGTTTTTGTAAATTTGTTGAAAATCCAACTTTGCGATGCATAAGTGAGTGAGGGTAGAACACAAGAGTCTAGGCGTTTTTTCTTTAGTCTCATTGGAAGATTTGACTTGAGGATTTCTTATTCCAGGCCATGTTTACTCGTCTACTTATTTCATCTCGGTGCCTAGATTTTTTGAATGATGTTTGTTTGCCTAGATATATATACTTATGATTCTATTGGAGCATTGTCAACTATTATTGGAACCGTTTTACCATTTGTCATCATTTTTGTTTTGCTTGTGTTCAATTGTAGACCAATTCCAAGGCTGACACTGTGTATTTCCGTTATCATAATATCTAGTTCCGATACAGTTTCCGCAAAGAGAACTATATCATCAGCAAACCTGAGATTACTCAAATATTTGCGATTTACGAGTATACCCCTATTCTTCCATTTCAGACTCTTTATAAAATGTTTTGGAGCACGGTTATAAAAATTCTGTCCGACAGCGGGTCACCTTGCCGGACGGACGCCTCTACATATATCTATTTCAGACCCTGATTTTTCTAGTATAACTTTACTTTTCTTCTATATATCTTGAATAAGTTCAATAGTTTCTGAGGGTACGTCACACTCTTGTAAAGCTCTCCATATACTACCGTGCGAGATACCGTTCTAGAGAGTGGATGTGTTTGCCTCTTGTGTAGAGGATCGCCTTGTGACGTATACTGAGAATGAACAGCCGGTGGAGCAGGCAGGCTTTAGAAGAAACTACTCAACACTAGATCACATCCACAGCTGCTATTAGTAAAAATAAAAATCAAGAATAATGTGACATATTATTTATTTACAGTACCATCGCATTTAATGTAGTATAATATATACCAATTACAGAGACTAAAACCAATGACTGAAGGTATACTGTACATGTAAATACGACACATGAGATACTGAGATATAGACTTCTACATAATATAATCGGCAAAATTTACTAGTTGTTTATTACAATTTTGCATAAAAACAATGATCCATTAAAAAAACCATTGACTTGTCGCACTAAAGTATACAATTTTGTTTATCAAGTCAATTAATTACATTATTTAATTGTTGACGTCATTTTAACTATGATAATTTTTAACACGTATTAACTGTCAATTACCTACCAAATCATCATCATATTTGGAAGGCGAACCCGCAAGAACTGGATGTGGAGCTATTAGCAAGACGACCACTTACTATGGCACCATCATTCAGTCAACTATAAAATGATAGAATTATATAACTGCATCTCTACAGTAATTTTTATAGCCTAGCTTTATATAAACCGAGCAGTATTCGTTGACAATACTACTGACAGTGGAAAATAGTTTGTTTTTTTACTTGAATTACAAAAATAAAAGTTTTTTAGCAAATAACAGATACAAAATCCTTTTGCTTATTAACTAAAAATCACATATTAAACTTATAACAAAATTAGTAGCAGCTTAAGTAATAAGTTTTGTTGATAGGAGCCAAAGCCCAAGATTGCTTTTTCTTAGTTAAGTTAAAGATTAATGTTCCACTCGTCCAAGTTCCTTGTCCACTGTCCAGTGCACCCTCATTACAACTCATACTTAATTATGGATATCATTGCAATGTTTGATTTTATTATTTTTTACGAAATCCTTACGCTTCACAAATAGATAGACAAAATATTTTCACTTTCATGGAGAGTTAATACCTACTTACTTGAATCATTTTGAACACAATCCAGGAATTGAAAAAATCATGACTATAGAAGCTAATTAAAGTACAATCAGGGTTTCGAAAAATAGTAGTTGATATCCCTGGTTACTAATAAATCACACATTAATTGTAGGACTTTATGTTTAAATTGGACTAACTTAGAAGTTAGACGAGTTGATCAGAACATCTTCGTCATATTGTATAATTTTTTTAAAGTAAAATTGAAATCCCCATAGAAAAAAACGGCAATCATGTTCCTTAAAACACAGGTTAACGTTAATATTGAAATTGTTTTAACATTTGATCTATTTACAATTTTGATATGGTTATTATAAATATCAGTAGATAAGTTTTTTTTCAATTTAGAAAATATATAAAATTTAGTTTGCTACAACCAATAGTGGAATTTCATTAAACGCTGAACAACACACAGTAGTGATCATATCGTACATGACATTCACTCACTGACAAATAAACTATTCAACAAAAATTGGAATAAACTAATAATATCAGTACTTTAACTCATCATAACTCGGTGTGCTCGTCGTGTTCTGAAAAGGAAACAATATTTACTTATAATATCTTATTGTTATAGTTGCGATAAATTAAACTTTTGTGAACAGCAAATGTGTATTAGGTCACAAAAGCATCATGAATCCCAAACAAATTGAACTAATTGTCCAGATGATTGGAGGATAAACTAACATTACCTATAAATAACAAATCCCCATCTATATTACATTTCAAATCCGTAAAAGGTTGCCAGAGATCAAAAAAGGTAGTTTGTAGTTAATATTTCTTATTTCAGATTGCCTAAAGTAGATTAAAGGATATGTAATGACTAGTAAACTTACTTGATGGTCTACTGACTGGGGTAATTTCTTCATGAACAGGCGCTTCAATTTCCTGAAACAACACCATGTGTTATGTATATTCGGTCATAACTCCGTCATATATAGACGGATTTTCAAAATTCTTTTTATTTTCGAAAGGGGTTTAAATCGAAATGATCGTATTTAAATTTCCTATACTTAGATCTGATGATGAGTTTCGAAGACAGACAACGGAACTCTTCAAAAAGTGACAGCAAATCAACCGCGATTGCTGCTAGATTTTTAGTGCTCTTTGTTAGTATTGTTTGAAGCTGGTTCAACTTCTTTTTAAAAAGGATTTATTATAATTTAAGAAATTGGTTCCAATTTTGTGATGACAAAATTGGTGATACTTCACCATTTGGGTTGGAATAGATTTTCCTCTCTGAAGGGATTTTTCCTACATTCCTACATGAAAAAAGCGATAGTTATTCCTGTTTTCAAGTCTGGAAGCATAGATCTAGCCAGCAACTATAGACCTTTATCGACTCTCCCCTCTTTATCCAAATTATTAGAAACAATTATAAACACTAGGTTAGTGAAACATCAAGAACATAATATTTTTCTCTCGCCAGCACAAAATGGTTTTAGATCTTAACTGTCCACAGCTGACGCGGTTCATGTCTTAACTAATTTTATTACTAGTGAACTCGGCAAAGGTAATCAGATCTTAGGGATTTTTCTAGACCTTGCTAAAGCAATTTACACTATATCAATTTCTTCACTGCTAAACAAATTGGAGGCTTTTGCTAAGAAATACCTTAAACTTTTCGCAGACTATTTAAGCAATCGGCACTAATGTGTTAAAACAGGAAATGTCGTGAGCGATGATGTAAAAATTTAGCGTTCCCCAGGGAAGTATCCTTAGTCCTAAGCTTTTCCTGGTATATATTAACGATCTATGTAATCTAACCTTTAGTCATGGAAAGATAATATCATATGCTGACGATACGGTCTAATTTTTACCGCAAAAATTAGTAACGAATTATATCAGAGCACCTAGTTTGGCTTTAATGTTGTGTATACTTGGTTGAAAAATAATCTTCTAACATTAAATCCCGACAAGACTAAATATATTCACTTTTCCATGCCCAAAAATCTACACGCTGTAACTAACACTTCCATATACGCACACCATTGCCCCTCTCCTGCCAAAACTCGTCAGTGCCATTGTGTAATTGTACTGCTATCCAGGAAACCCATAACATTAAATATCTAGGGATCATCATCGACAATACCCTCTCCTTTGGGACACACATTGAAAATTTAGTAAATAGAGTTCGTAAATTAATATATGTATTTACAAAACTGCAAGCTATAGCAGATTTAAAATTGATCACTCAAGTGTATTTATATTTATCTTTATGTCAATCAATCATCCAATGTTGTATAACTTCATGGGGTGGAGCACTAAAAACTATTATTTTGCCTCTAGAAAGAGCTCAACGAGCGATTCTAAAAGTAGCCTCCTCCCTACCGTTCCTATTTCCCACAACTATATTATATAAATCGTGCAAGGTGATGACTGTCCGACAAATTTTCATATAACACACGGTACTGAAAGAACATACATTACTTACCTATCACGCTGATATTTCTGTATGTGCCTCACAATCAGGCTCAAAGTTCATTTAATCAAAATAGATTGTTTTCTAGGTCCATTTCTATATAATAGATTAAATAGAGAGCTAAGTATTTATAAATCAAATGTTGCTAGTTGCTTATGTAGGCTATTAGAATGTTATAATGAAATTGTAGTTATGTAGATTTATATTGATAAAATAGTTTATAAGCACTTCTTCGCCCGAGACACAGGTTCAATCTAGTTCGGTACAAACAACAACTGTATGTCATTTATAAATTAGAGAAACATTTATTATAAATTATTGTACTCTTTATCTAAATAAATTATTATTTTTATTATTTTAAATAATTCAGTGTCAAACAGTAAGCAAAGTATAAAACACCACACAAAGGATACAATAAACCTAACTCTTTTAACTCGGACAGTTACGTCACTGGCTCTCGACAGCCAAGTGTTCACTATTTCATTTTGTTACCTGTTCATGATCGGAAGCCTGGTACAGTCCGCGCCGAACCCTTGCCTGAAGTGCCTTGATCTCATCGTCGTACTGGCTCCATTCCGGTACGATACGCATTGCAGCTGATAACTTAGCTTCCTTTGTCATTGGGTTATTGCACTGTCACAAACAACATAAGATTTTTGAAACAATGACATTATATAAATGCTCTGTAATTGACTGACTTAAATTTTACTACACAACTAATTACTACAGTACTTACCAGGTCAATAGTCTTAGCGTGGGTCTTGGAGTCATTATCGCACCAAGTCTCACACCACAACCACTCTTGAGGCAAAGACTTTATTGCTACTTGGTGTATCATGTTGTTCGGCAAATCCTGATCTGGAATAAAAAAATCTCATAATAACTTCATGTTACATTTCGCCCGTATATGTATTTTGGACGTCATTATACTCATAAGGTTAATTTATAGAAACTCAAATCAAACTCTCATGACGTACTAATATAGTAAGTACTAAATAACATATTATTGCGTATAACGTTATTTTTTGTTACGTAATCAATGTCCACGGTAAAGCCCTGACCAAGTGGAAGAAAAATGAAACGAACACGAATGTATAATCCTTTTCTAAAAACCATTGGGGATATTTTCGAACCAAAGTACTTACCCAAATTAGATAAACTGTTAGGATCCTGGCTGAGGGCTTGGTATTGTCCTCGCAAGCGGTCTCCAGCGGCGATGCGGCGAAAACGCTTCAAGTCCACTACGTATAACGCGCTGATGTGATAGCTTCGACCTTGTAAGTGATTACGCCAGTAGCCTTGCTTCCAGAATCTAAACACAATAACAGATGCCATTCCTATTAAATATTTAAAACGAAATATTGCACACATTTACGAGTTATCTTTACTTTTTATTCAGTATTAACCACAAAGTTTTGTAATAAGGGAGCTTCTACACGATGCAAGTAGCTTGCGCATGTTGAGGCACTTGCGCAGGTTATTTAGAACTATGCGGGTCCAGCGGGTCACATAATACTATAATGGTTTACAGCATGTAAATTAGCAGCAAGCAATATAAATTAACGATTTATGTGAACTTAAACTCCCTCGGGCCAAAATCGTGATTTTTGCTGATGACACAGCTCTTCTTTTTAGTGGAATAACTTGGGATCAGGTTTTTCAGGATGCTCAGCTAGGCCTTAATAAAGTTAACAAGTGGCTGCAAAGTCAGCAATACTCTTACGTTAAAGTGGCGAAAACACGATGCATCACATTTTCTTTAAAAACGCAGATATTTTCTGTTCTACTAAACAATTAACTTTTCACTATTTCACTACAATATATATAATAAATAAATAGGAATATAAAACACACACACACATATTCATGTACAATTTGAAAGCAAAAAAAAATATACAAATAGTCCATTTTGTTCTCTTCACTTACCTTACTGAACCATATTATTGCGTGGTACCGCATCCTAGCTGTTTTTTCAATATGAAAATAATAAATATTGTATTCTAATTGTCCAAGGGTGGAGACCTGGTGATCTGTAGGACGGGCATATGCCTATGACAGACACCAACTCCTCACATTTAAAGAAATGTATGTAACCACCACCCTAAATCTTAGTATACCATGAAGTTGAAATGTATATTGTGAGGAGAAATAAACTTGATTATTATAATTATTATGACGCAAATAACCAGCATCTTTGTCCGCTCCAGCTATCTGCACCGCGTAGAAGCACCCATATAAAATAGGGGTATAGTTCTTTGACACTCACTTCACATTTAAAGATGTAAAAACCATGAGCTCGGGAATGAATTCAGGTCTAACTAAAATACTAAATAACTGACAAGAAATCATTTGGGTCTAATAAGAAACGCTTTTTTGAAAATTTCAAGAAATAATAAAATATTATTAGGGCAATACTATTGTGGCTCCTTTCTTTTATTTATTTTTTATCGACATTAAATATAAAAACAGTTTTCAATATATAAATTCTGTTACCTCAATATGAATCATTCGGCCTTTAGAAGATTATTACTGGAAATTTGCCTCTACCAGGTACGCCAGATAGATGTTATATACGAGCCCGAACATACCTGAACCCTTCCATCTCTTTTCTGCTGTCACAGAACGGTGTGTAGCCATAAGGAGCGCCGCCTAGATCCAATTCTACCAACTCCTTTAAGTCAGCGCGGACAATCTGCAAGACAATAATAGATGATGAATGGGTCTTGATATTTACGAGAATTAAAGCATGCATTATTTATACATGTATTTTACCTGATCTGCGTCAACGAAGATTATCTTTTTCACGTGTAGAGGGAAAAGGACATCTAGGAAAAGGATCTTGTACCCCCAAATTGTTCGTTGTCGGTCACGTTGCCGCTGGAGCCAGCGCGGCCACTGGTACTGTACTAGCTCGTATTCGAATCCGTACTCTTGCGCCATGTACGGCAAGATATCCTAAAACATATAGTTAATATACAATATCATCATCAACAGCCTTTAATGGTCCACTGCTGGACATAAGCTTAGTAAGGAGGTTTTGGCCTACTATACCACGCTGGCCAGACGGGTTGGTATAGGGTTTGTGTCAAGTTTTCCTTCTCTCTGCAGTGTTGTTGTTCTGCGTAGTTTTTTCCCTTACTTGACTCTTACAACACCCACGGGATGAATAGGGGTGATGACAATCTGTATTCTTAATCCGTCACCACACGGACGATATACAATATACTTGCACACGTTTAAGTAACGTTTTTTATGTTTTCTTTGAAACTTTAGTAAAAAATGTAATATAAAGCGATTTGCATCTGCTGATTAAGATTTTGACCGGCATACATTTAGTGAAACATTCAAACAACAAACATCAACAGCCTTTAATAGTCCACTGCTGGACATAGGCCTCTCCTTAGAAAGGGGATTTTGGTCCACTATACGACACTGGCCAGACAAGTTGGCTTTGTGTCAAGTTTTCCTTCTCTTTGCAGTGCTGTTGTCAAGTGTAGTTTGCTCGCTTAGTCGGCTCTTACGACACTCCCGGGATGAATAGGGGTGGTGACACTTCGTATTCTTAATCCGTCCCGTCCCGTCTTAATCCGTTATTTTATCAGTGACGTACATAATTACATATTAATATAAAGCAAAATAATATTGTATTATATGGATTATATGTTTGTTTATGTTTGAAAAATCTGTGTTGAAACTGTATTGAAGTAAGTCTTAAGATCTGGTGATTATTGAAGCCTTCAACTTACCTTGAGTGAAGGACTAAGATAGTTCTTGAGAAACCAGAACTTAACAGGCGACTTTGTGTGTTTGAGCACAGACAACATCATAATGCGAAGGAACCTCTCATACAAATGTCCTGATGCTACTGAGAACACGTTTATAGTTTCATCTTGTGCCTCCTGCTCGTCGCCTCCACCAAACGAACTGTCCAACAAAACAACATGACCTTCAGTTTTAATTTTTCATCGCCATAGTAATAATTTTTAAACTTCTTTTTACTGCGGAACATAAAAACTAGCTCTTTACAAAGTGATCGTCATGGCATAGTTTCTGGCCGCATGAGACATCGTAGTGTATACAGTTTAATTGAGTCATTGTGTTTACGTAAAAAGGTTTACCTGGCTATTGAGTTCCATATACCGCCAGCATTCTTTTCATCATTTTCGACAAGTAGGTCGACATTTTGCTTGTCGGCCTTCTTGCTAACTCGTAGTTTGATTACGTGACTTCGGAACGAACTCATCAGTACCTGAATGTCTTCACTGTCTGCCGGAGTATCGGTATTCTCGTGACTGTATATTTAGAAAGGTGTGTATATAATTTAAAAGATTCAATTACCTTACTTAAAAAACATATTTTTATACACTGTTTCAAACACTAACTTTGCGTTGTCTCACTTTTGTTTAAAGTGTGAAAGAAAATAACATTAATAAAGTAATCATAACATACCCGACAATCTCGTAAATTTCATCTGATCTTCCAGGTCGCAGTCTTAATATCCATGCACCGGGATTAGCCTTAAGCTGGAAGTAACCAAGATTTGCCATGACTATGGTGTCCATGAGTTCTGGTTTGTCTCTTGTGCCCAGCACCAGTTGGAGACCACGTGGCGGAGTACCTAGTGTTGTGTCCCAGGCGTGACCTTCTAGTAGTAAGTATTCTAATTCGAATTCACTGTAAAATAAGACTTTATTTCAATATTCATTATGTTATATATAGTTATTGAGAAAATTATTCAATAAAGTTTTATCGAATTACTATCTGGTGCCCGCGACGTCGTTCGCGTGGAATTTGAAAAGCGTTGCCATAGTGGGTTCGATTTCCCGGGATGGTCAAAATTTTATAGTTTTTCTGAGAGAAAACTAGCCTAAGTTACACCTTATATAGACAGCTACTTGGTAGTAAAATATTATCAAAATCGGTCAAGCCGTTTTGAAGATTACCCGGAACAAACAGACAGACAAAAATTGTTTAAACTGGTTTTTAGGCATAGGAATGCAAATAACCGTTTGAGCATGAAAAAAGCTATTATTTTGACATTACATACAGACACTTCAATTTTATTTATTTATTCTGTAACAATAATAATTGTGTTTGAATGCTTACGTGATAACTTAATTTTCTAAGCGAATTAAATTTATATAATAAAAATAGACAAAAATAAAAACAAAAACATGCAATCAAAATAAAAATAAAAACAATCAAAAATTCAATGTCGTTAAAATATTGGCAAAATTGTGGTTAGGACCTTTGAAGTTGTCTCCGGGTTCATTATGTAATATACCAATATGAATGTCGATTAACAACTAGGTGAGGTACAATTTATAAGATTTGCAATTTTTTCCACATCCATGACTCATTCAATGCCCAAATTTGCCACAGAATAATAACACTTTTCCAGAAGTAATTCCTTTAATCGGGATTTGTACATGCGCGTGTTATATACCATCTCTTTAAGATAGACGGGTAATCGATCAAATACCTCGCCCGACTGATATTTCGTGCAATGCATGACTATATTTAGTTTAGGTCTTATTTTATTTTTTAGAGCTTTTCTCCGTGTTAATTCTCTTTCTTCTCTTTCACGTCCTGTCTCGTATTCGTGAATATACTTAGCGAAGTTGGTAAGTAAAGTTAAGATGTATAAGCAAGGGACTGTTAAGATGCTAAGTTCTTGAAATGGTTTCAAGAGTTACGTGGTGAAATCTGAACCATTATCCTAATAGCACGTTACTTCAGAACAAACGCTCTGTGTACATTATACTCTTAACTATTTCCCCAACACATTATGCTATACCTAATCTTGGACTCCACAAACGCATAGTAGACGGCTTTAAGTTGCTTGATACCTGCGATATCCCTTAGGCTCCTCAACGCATATCACGCGGAAGAGATACACGAATCCAATGATGCCAATCTGGTTTCCAGTTAAGTTATGAATCTAAGTTGACACCTAAAAATTTTGTGATTCTGACTAATGAGATTTGGTTGTCATGTAAGTTGATATCTGATATCCAATTCATCTCTACTTCTAGATGTTGTTTTAAAAAGTATGATATTTGTTTTATTGCTATTAATCAACAAGCTATTAGCCGAAAACCACTCATCCAACCATAATGTTCCAATTTCGATAAAACTAGATCATGGTCTATAGTATCAAAAGCCGAACTCAGGTCAATGAATATCCCTACCACTTTCATACTCAATTCATTCATTTTTACAACTATGTCATCCACCAATGTATAGATGGCATCTGCAGTACCAACCCCTTTTTGATATCCAAATTGCCGGTGATTGATAAGCAAGTCAGTTAATGACACATTTAAGTTTTGCAAGCTTAAATGTGTCATTAACCGACTTTTAATCACTCTTTCAAAAACTTTTGAAATAGTGAGAGGAAAGCGAACTGATACATACATTATTTGTATACGTGTATAGATATTCTCCATAACCATACCAAACCAATCATAAACAAAGCTATAACATGCCTACCAACACTAAAAAATAGTAACGCCTATTCCGAGTGTTCCTGAACTAATCTCAAAATGTATGTAGAACTGGGACCCTTAACACTAAATAGCTTTGGTGAGATTATAAAAAGTAAAAAATAACATAGATAAAGTGTTGTACTCAAATCAATGACACTTTAATAATCTTTTATTATTAAAATAAGCCTAAAACATTTTGTTGTGTATATTGTTTTTTTTTTTTACTTTTCGCTTTTCGTTTTTAAAAAACTTCAACACTTTTAAGATAAAGTTTCTCTCATCACTATGCAATGTTTGCCTTTCATTATGTGGATGCTTGTTATTAGTAATTTAAGTGCTAATCAGGGCCTCAATTCTGCTATTTTATGTTCACGCCAAGCCACTGTCATACCACTGACACGCAATTGAGATGCCATCGAGTGGCCATTGGCATCGGTATAAATATCGGTAGTTGAAAATATATTACGTTTTTTAAGGAAATTATTTATTTATTTTTATTTTAATAAATTATTAAAAGAAATAAATAAATAAAAATAAATTATTAAAAAAAAAAAAATATTAAAGAATAAAATATAAAAATTATAAAAAAAGAACTACTTAAATAAATTATTAAAATAAAAAAATAAAAATATAAAATCATTTCCTCAAAAAACGTAATATATTTTCAAATTATAAGGAAATGACTTATATATTTAATTTTTTTTTTTTTTAGATAAATTATTTATCTTTTTTTATATTTTTACTTTATTAATAATTTATTTATTTATTTTAATAATATTTTTATTTATTTTTTTATAATTTTTATATTTTATTCATTAATAATTTATTTTAATTTTTTTTTCTTTTTATAATTTTTATATTTTATTCATTAATAATTTATTTTAATTAATTTATTTCTTTTAATAATTTATTATAATAAAAACAAATAAATCATTTCCTCAAAAAACGTAATATATTTTCAACTACCGATATTTATACCGATGCCAATGGCCACTTGATGGTATCTCAATAGTGTGTCAGTGGTATGACACTGGCTTGGCGTAATAGCAGAATTGAGGCCCAGCTGTCGGTATTATTATTAGTTGGTAAGCTTTCCTATAAATTTATGAAAAATTCTAACAAGAAACACACAAAAATAACAATAAAATGCAACAGAGAGTCTAACAACAAAGCAATAACAAGATTACTCGTATTACGATAACATGATTAACAACAAAATTTAACAGAAAGTCTGATAACAAAACGATAACAAGATCAACTACAAAATGTTACAGGAAATCTGCTAACAATAGGAGTGCGTCGTCGTTACCTGACGTATGCCAGTACGAGAATAATGTTAGAAAAAATGGTGTTGCCTACAGTACAACGAGGACGCTCGAAGGGAAGTGAGACAAGGCTCAAGCTTTATACTACTGAGAATAAACGTCGTGTCCATAGCAATCCACCAGGGGATTTAAGCCGGGTCCTAGTGGATTTAGTGTTCACAAAAACTTCCAATTAAATCTCCTTGGGATCAAAATGGATAAAAATTCCAAACAGATCAACTAGGATATCATTGTGGACAAAAAATCCAATAAAGGCAGGGGATCTTAATGGACGGAGCCCAAAACCTCTTTTCTAAGGAGAGGCCTATCTGAAGCAGTGGACTACTGAAGGCTGTTGAGGATGAGAATGATGTCATATATTTTTATTAGACTTGCAACGAATAGTATATTCGGCAGTATAGCGAATACCGAATATTCGGCGAGGCCCCTGACCGAATAGCCGAATATTAGGCAAAAGTATTCGGCTGGATTTTAGTGACAAAAACTTGTACAGACGTGATGTTTCGCCCGCGCGCCCGCTGTTGCTCTGCGCGGTATATTGCTAACGCACTGCATGTTTCGACAAAATAAAATGCAGAAAAGTTAGTCTTTCAGCACCATAACCTTCCCCTTCTAAATTTTGATTATGAAAATAATTCAAATGCATAGAAAAATTCTTAACTTGTTTAATACAGAAAATGATTAAATTATGTACCTGTTTTATGTACCAATGACTACTTAATAAATGATTATAAAAGAAATGAGAACCTTACCCTTCTAAATTTTGATTACCACAATAATTGAAATACATAGAATCCTCAATTTTTCCAATTCAGAAGATGATTATGTACCTGTGTTATGCACCAATGACTACTTAAATGATTATAACAGAAATGAAAATATGAATATATACGTAATCAATCGATTTTAATTTTTCATTTTACCAATTATTTCTCTATGACAAAATATATTATTTAAGTATTCTGTATTCGGCCGAATAATATGTAAATATTCGGTATTCGGCAGAATTTAATAAAAGCAGCCGAATAGGCCGAATACCGAATAGTAACCGAATATTCGTTGCAAGTCTAATTTTTATACTAAATCAACATTTTAAATTAATTTTCTTTCTAATTTCTGACATTTTTTTGTTCCAATTTCCGCCATGTTTTGTATTCGCGGTTTAAGAGCTAATGGCACTTCGCAATCGATATTTCGGTACTGACCTGTGCACAAGTGTATCCACGTCAGCTAGTCGAATGTTGTCAAGATCGTAAACGGATTTGACGCACTCGACGAGCCAGTTGGGTGGTGTCCTCAACTCCATTGACAAGAGAGGTGCATGCGGCAGGCGAGAGAACCGCGCTAAAGCACCGCCTGTTAAAGCCCCCGATGATGTAAACTGGAGCTCTGGCTCCAACACGTAGCGGTAGAAACTGACGACAAGCGCAGGATAGGTTTATCCTTTTTAATTTTTGAGATACATTCACTTCTTAGTTTCTTACTTTTCTCTTATTTACAGTAGTAAATGTTTAAGAAACGAATAAAACAGGTAAAAGTATATTAAATAGTTTAAATCTACTCTTGGGGTTTTTCTTGGATCCTGATAATTCAATATAATATTTAAGAAGGTAAATGCATGAGAAAAAATATTACTAACATAACAACGTGATGGTAACTCCTAAAGTTTTATATTCTCCCAGTTTTATTAACATGTACCTTTTAAGCGGCATATCAGAGTTCTTGTCTTGTGGGTTAACAAACAGTTTGATGCGGCAGTTGATGACGCGACGTAAAACCAAAAGTAGCGGCGCGAGTCGTTGAGCCGCCGTCGATGCAGGGTCCAACACAGCTATTATCTGTTGTTACACAACTTCGATTAGACACCACCACCTTTTAAACTTTTCTGATAAGGATTCAATAAAGTTATCGATATAATTGATTAACTTACTGCTAAGTTTAAAATACTGGATCGTATCCAGTTTATAGTCGTGTTTTTTTTTTTGTGGAAAATGAATAAGTATCACAATTGATGTTTAGCAATAGTTAGGCTAAATCGTAATCATTAAAGTTATCATCACAACACTAATGATGGCTGACCGGGTTCGATACCCACAACGGACAAAAATCAGTTGCACATGGGTGTTTGTGTATATTGCCTGAGTGTTTGAAACATCCCTGCGACACAGGAATCATTAAAAGTATAGTGCGAGTAGCATATTAGTATGTTCACTTACCTCAATAGCAGCCTCGTCATCGCGCAGAGGCCGCAGATCGACGAGTGAGTGGTCGGTGCGGAGGCCGGGCGGCAGGGAGCTGCGCACGCGCGGGCTTCGCGCCGCTACCACTGACACTACTTTCAGCCTGTCTTCTACAGTTAGCTCCTTTGTCTCATAATCTAGAAACAAAGTCTTCTCATGTTTTAAATTCGTTTTAATGGTAACTTAACCTTCTTATGTCATTATTAAGGCGAACGAGCGGAAAAACTATGGGTCAAGGCAATCTTAGCATAAAAATAAGCAATTGACACCATTATACATATGAAAAAAAGATAATCTTACCATCATCGTCACCAAAAATATCATCCAAATCTACTGGTTTCTTCTTATCTAAGACTTCAGAGAGCTTATCAGCATATGCTTGATTGGTGAACCTAAAACAATAAAAAAACCTAATTAACCGTCTATTTTATAATTGTCAAATTTTATTGTCACTACGTATTTCTAATTTCATAGTTGAGCACTGTAATATTGTCGGACATTACGTCTCGTGTTTAACGAGCTGTTCAGCAACATTTTTAATTTATGTTGTTTCTGATGGCCTAGTGTAAGTTTATGTCCATCAACTCCCTATAAAATCTTCACCAATCGTGCTCACCCGCAAGAGCGAGTTAAAGTGAAATAAACTGACATCACATATTCATCAACAGCCTATAATAGTCCACTGCTGGACATAAGCCTCTCCTTAGAAAAGAGGTTTTGGCCTATTATACCACGTTGGCCAGACGGGTTGTTATAGGGTTTGCTTCAAGTTTTCCTTCTTTTGCAGTGCTGTTGTCCTGCGTAGTTTGCCCCCTTACGACACCCACGGGATGTATAGGGGTGGTGACATTTCTTATTATTAATCCGTCACCACACGGATAATAAACTGACACTATTGCCTCTATTATTGTTTCCGCAAAACCTATACGCAAGCGATAGAAAGAATAGATGGACAATTTTATTGATTTACAAATGTATGCACTCGTGTACTCGTGTACTCGTGTACACGACTTAATGCCCTGGGCATTCTCTACCGACCAACCTTTGGGTGGTGTAGAAATCTGGTAAGGTAGGTGCACTGAGGTTACAGTTGCAATAGTAGTTATAAAGTTCTAACTAACATGTACAATTACATACATCTCGCCCTGTTAAACCGTTCTAAACAAAGATTATTTTTCATTACAATAGTATTGTGACGAAGAAATCGTACCTTTCGAGTAATGTGAAGTCTTCGAGAGTAAAGGTCTCGTCGTCGCTGAAGGGCCCGATGAGCCTGGCGTTGTGCACGAGGGCGCGAGCGCCCGCGCGCAGCCTGAGCGAGCGCGCGCACAGCACGCGCGACGCCTTCAGCACCCACTCGTGCTTGTTCAGCGCTGCCACCAGCTCCGGCTGCACACCACCACATACTCATACACAAAATACACTCACAAAAAGTTAACATGGTATAATAATATAAATATAAATAAAATGCTCTGATTTATAAAACGAAATGTTTACTATTAAAATGCATTCTGAAAGAGTTGGACGAAAATGAAACGTAAAAAGTTGGCAACGATACAATATTTTCATAACCCTGATCACGAATACTCATTAACATTAAAAATTGGCCTTATTACAAAACAAAGACTTAAGAGCCTATTACTGAACTTACCAATATATCACAAGTCTGTTTCTCATGACAACCTTCATCTTCAAGTAACTTGAGCACATATGTAGTAGCTTTTGGCGCATCGAGAGTGGTGAGTGCGGCTAACACAACTTTGTTCAGTGATTGGTCGACAGTTAATGTATTATCTACATTTGGTATGAAGGCCACACGAACTCCACCAGATTCACGCTGTCAGACAATAAAATTTAAACTTCAACCGAAATATCTGTGTAGAAATAATTTGCGTAAATTTTATCTTAGCGACAATTTATCTTTTTGGAAACTAAGAGCGTGAATTTTTATTTGCTAAAATTATGTTTTTTTAATTAGTTATGAATAGTACTTTCAGTAAATATTTACAACTTCAGATATAAACATGTAATAAAATGATAATAGATATGATCTAGATATGATCTAAAAATTGATCTTTGTAATTAAAAAAATTGAATTCTGTTTATGAGAATATTCCAAACAATTAAGATTTTCAGGCTCTTCTTTAATTACAGTGCTATGTACCTAATTAATACACATAATACAAAATTATTGCTTATACTCGATGCAGATAATAAAAAGTATATTTACCATGAATGTCAAAGCATCTTTTAGAAGGTCCCTAGACTTCTTATTATTTAAATCGCCAGCTATCCAAATTGTTTGAGTAATCTTTTCCGTTTTACCAGATTTGGCGAAATACTTGAGTAGGGGTAAAGCAGTTGCGATGGCATCCCGACCTAGAGATAAATGAAGTTTAAAACTAACAAAACCTTTAAAAGTTCAAATCGTGTTTTTTTTTTCTATAATGACTAGTATTATCGCATAATACCAAAATCATTATATTATTATGAGAGATATATATTATTTTTTTTACATCCTTTTTTATTACATTTGCCGGTTCTAATTAAAATGGGTTCTACATTAGTGGAGCTTTAGGCGTCTTTAAATAATATGTTGACACTTTTATCGTATAATTCTCAAAAATAATACCATCAATCAGTTCTCACTCACTATATGAAAGTGGCGAGAACGAAATTAATAAAACTATTAAGCTGTACAACCGGTGTTAAAAGGGGCTGGTGATTCGTGAGTGCATCTTATAGGTACCTGTCAAATGCAGAAGATGTTGAATCTTGTCCTCAGTAAAGAATTCACTAGATGAGGCTAATCCTGACAAATCCAAGTACTGCGACGGATCCGAAGCCAAAACCCGACGATTCAATCTGTTGCATAATATTACATAAAAGCAAACATGGTAAAGTAAAGAAAAATAATTTTCAGTTTTATACGTTTAATCCAATGATATAAAACTAAAAATTTGTGTAGATTTAGGGTTCATTCATGAATATCATTCCACGTAATGGTACCTATGTTCAAGCGGGTATAGTTATTGCAATATGTTAGCAGTCAATCCCTGCTTATGATAATCATTTCGATGCCTAAACACATGCAAGACTGGTCGTATTGTTTCACTCCCATTGAGCTCTAACAGCTTTACACAGCAAGAAACGCAACTGATATCTGCATCTAATTAGCACATTGGAGATATATATTTTAGTTAAAAGAGCATGTTAATACTGGTCAATGTTGTTCAAAGCAGATATAAGTTCGAATTGGAGGCACTTGTGAAGTTATTCTGAATTGCTATGGATACCATCATCTACTGTAGTTAGAAAATGTTGAAAACCGTTACACAAAGTGTAATTTAGTATCGTCAAACATACCCTGATGACGAGGAAAGAAGGTGAAGGATAGCGTTAGTAGCGCGCAAGCATTTGAGTGCGAACACATCTACCTGATTGCTAGTATAATAATAATAATAATAAGAATATACCTCACACATCTCACACACGGTCGTCTGATCCCAAACTAGGCAGAGCCTGTGCTATGAAAACCAGACTGCTGATAAACATACATATATATTTTTAAATACATACATATATTATTATAGATAAATTACACCGAGACGCAGAACAAATGACCATGCTCATCACACAATATTTCTCCTGGGTGGGAATCGAACCCTAATCGCTCACGAGTATGTGCTAATATATATATGTATACGATAGTATGGGCCATAGAGTGCTTGTTTTCCAAGTTACTGTTTTTAAAATCAACACAAGCTACAAGTATTTAAAGAAAAAGGCAATATACACTAACCTAGGCATGATGTGCGACTGTTTCATGAGATAATCAACAGCATCCTCTGTATCAGAAACCTCTCCTCTAAACACAGCACGCTGCAAGCGACCGGTGTGACGAGACAATGACGTCACAAGCGCCTCTTCTAGTAGCTCCACTGACGACGTTACTGATGTTGCACCCTCCTCAACAAGCGGTACCCCGTTAACCAACACCTGGAGTTTATCGAAAGGAATTAGTAAAATTAACATAGTTGATCTAAACTCAATAGTAAACTTATATTGTAAGTGTGAAAATGAGTGCTTTTTGTTTGTTACGGTATCACGCGGTTACTTTGAAACAGAAAACACAGTTGTCTGGAGTACAGACAGGATATTATAGAGTTATCCACTTTGCATCCAAAATAAAATTACAGTTGCCAGGCATAGAAAAAGAACTTTAACGACGTCCACGTTAGCGCGAACTTAGCCGCAAACAAAGGCTTGTGTCAAAAAATAGTAAAATGATTTTTTAAATGTTTAAAAATATTGTTAACTGACTAAACATAAACTGTTTATTATAATATTTTGCAAAAAACTAGAAGTTACTTCAAACGAAATTGATTCACTATTATGATGTAAATTCTTGGGGGGGGGGGGGGACTCAAAAGGGCAGCAACGCACATGTGACTCTTGAGTTGTAGGTATCGAATAAAGGCGGCAGTCTCTCAAATTAACTGGTGATCTTTGAGCGTTTCTACTTTTATTTTTGTAAGTCACATGTTTCATTGCAGCAAACACTAGGTAATCGTTTAACTCACAACATACTACAAACCTGCGGGTAATTGTTGGTACCGAGTTTTGCAACAAATTCTGCCGACAATTGTCTTCCAAAGTTGTATTCAGAATCTTCTGATACAATGTCATCTAAATTAGAGTTGAAACTTGTGTATTTGTTTAGTTGTTTCTTTACAAGTTCTATAGTTAATTTTTCGCCTTGAGTTGGATGTAATAGCTGAAAGAAACAATTGATTATACTTTGTACAATTTTGTTAAGTGAATGAGTAAAGTGCAAGATACAGTCGTCCAGTGCTACAGGTTTCTTTTTTCGAAGAGCTTGCACTGTAGGCAACGAAAAATTATATTGCGTGTATATTTGAATATATTTTTTTACAAATTAATGTATCATATGAAGAATTCCTTTAGTGTAATCTTAGTGGGAGTTTTAATAATAATAATAATAAATTTATTTATTTTCAGACATTAGTCCATAGATATGTTAGTAACAGTAATCTTACAACTATGTTAGTTCTACATTAACACAAAACAAATTAAAAAATAAATCGTGGGAAAACCTTTGTAGGATTGGAAGATCCCACCTCTCGGACAATAAGCTTTTTAATGCATATCTTAAATTCGTTGATATTGAAACGATACATTTTAACAAAATGATAAGTCTCTATCCATTAGTAATGAAATATTAAAGTTTAACGTTTATTTAAACTATTTAATACTAATGACAACTAACAAAAAAGCAAACTGCAAAAAGAAGGAAAACTTGACACAAACCCTATACCAACCCGTCTGGCCAGCGTGGTATAGTAGGCCAAAACCTCCTTACTAAGGAGAGGCCTAGTCCAACAGTGGACTATTAAAGGCTGTTGATGTGATGTAATGACAACTAACATCTAATTTTTAATTGAAATTGTGTTCTTATTTTTAAGCCTTTCTTCTCCTAAAATCTGTGAAAAGATATTTATTAACTCTTTTTTCTTTGTTAGAAATACTACCATTACTTAAGTGATTGCACGTTGTGATGCATCAAACTAATGACGCTAACTACGTACCGAACGTCATAAATAGACATGGTCATAGTTAACAAATACATGCAATTAAGCGGATTACACATTAATTTAAAGAAGTAAATATACCTGTGTCAAGAAGTAATAAGCTTCTTTGTTAGAATTCCTTTCCTGTGCTACATAGTTGAAAGCGGACCTTACGGCGGCTTCGAGAGGAGCATTATCGGGACTAGGAGCTATTACAAGACCGACCCGGACCGGCGTAGCATGTTTCAGTAACGTCTCACCCAATTTCAATGGCGGTCCCGAGTTAAGAGATGTTGGATCCACTATAATAACCTGTTATAAAATAAAATTCACTAAAAAATCCTAAAAATGAAGATTTCTTTAAAAAGTAAAAGTTTTTTAACAATCAATATGACAATATTCTCAAAGGAGTTTATTTTAAAACAAAGTCTATCAATAACCATATCTAAAATTTCACAGTGTATTTAAAAAGACTAGTTTAGAGCCAGAGTTTAGCTTAGAGCCAAAGACGAGACGAGTTAAAACTGATTGGTTCCGTGCAAATATACTTACATAATTGTAAATATTTCTCCTAAGATTCCTCAACATTCCAGGATACGTGGGCCTCAGCAACTCCATATACGAACCAGGCCAACGCCGATATCGGTCATCAGTTTCCAAATCATTAAGCCACGTAATAGCTGTATCGCGGATGTCGAGCCCGTACTCTTCCCATGTATATGATTCGCCCAATTCCAGAGACATTAGTTTATTGATCAGCTTTTTGGACAGTCCTAGACAGAAGAGTTTTAGAGTATATTAACATAAATTGGGATAATACAAACATAACTATAAACTAAATCCATAAATATTATAGATAGATTATTTCCAGACAGGAAAATTATTGTGCTCATTATTATTATCATCTGCATCGCCAACATTATTAATGTCAGTGTTCTCTCTTACGAAACATTATATACATATAGCAACCATGTTCTGTAGGAAGCTTCTCGCTAGAGGTCATGGTTCTGGCCATGGTCCAAAGTGAGAGTGCAAGGGATTCCACCGCTTCTTTCTGTGAGGAAGTGATGATGAGCGAGCGCCTCTCTAAACTGGAAGGAGGGTAAGGCCTTCTAGAGTCATTGGTGTGGCTGCCGGGGTTCTCGGGGACTTCCTTCCAAGGGTATACACCTTGCAAGAGATTCACATGTGACGGATCACCTTGTGATTCTAGTCGGTTCGCTTTCGACACACTTCTTTACCGTGAGGCTGGTAAGTATTTTTGTGCTTTATGTGCCACTTATATTCATCTCTTTTCATATGTTTATTTTGGATAACAGCAAAGTGTTTTTGTTTCATTTTTCCCCAACATTCGTCAATTCATTGCGTACTCTATTTCCAGCCATATCCTGTTTCACGCAATCAATCCATTTTTTTTTTGTCGTACTCTACTCTTGTATGCGCCGACTATGAGGATCTATGAAGAAAATGTTGTTAAAAGAGAACAACATTTTCCTCATAGATCCGCATCACAAGCCCGAGCCACGATAATTATTTTTACTCCTCAACTTTTCACCTACTCCCGCTACTTTTCCCTGTTTATTCATCATCTTTGTTTTTTGCTAATGGTTGGCCATAAAGGTCTATTTCAGGAAGTTATTGTTGAAAAGAGCCAAGGTATCACATGGTAGGACATGAAATTAGAGAAGACTTGTATTGGTGTTCCATTCAGCGAAATGGTTGCAAGACTGAAGAGACTGCCGAAATTGCAGAACATATATTCGGTTTTGGTTCTACTGATTTTCAAATCAACATTATGTGTGTCCAAAACAATATCGTCTAAGAGCAACAGTGATTAATGTGTTTCTTCGTGTATTATTATGGACGTTATGGACTAAGAGCCAATACTTGTTTAAGCCTACAGAAAAATTGAATTGTTCGGCGTTTCTAGCGACCTTACACTAATGTATTTGTTCATACTTGTAGAGTACAAGTACATACAAACAAGTTGTAACACTAAATAATTCCATATACTTAGAAGGCACTCTGTTTTTTTTAACTAGAAACCCAATCATACGCCTTTTTTAACTTAACACACACCATATGCAAGTTTTTGTGCAGGTATTTATATTTTTCTCTCTTATATTGAATTAAATCAATTGTACTAGTAATTTTTCTCTCTCTGTCCCTCAAATCAAAAAAAAATTAATATAATTTTCTCTTAAAGTTACATGACCTGTCAAAAATTCGGCAACATAAAAACCGAATTTTGGAAAAATACAAATATTGAGTATGATTACCAAAAATAACCTTCATTCTACCATTCTACTAAACAAATATCAGCCATTGAGTAAACATATTAAACCTTTTCTTTCATCCAAAACAGGCCTTATATATTGATGTTCCTAGTGTCACACAGTAAAAAATAAAGTTAGTAAAATGTACAATGAAAAAGGTTTACCTAGCGCATGCAGCGTATTCATAGGTCCAATATCTTCTTTTAATGCAGCTAGCAAAGCCATTACATCAACCTCCTCAGCGTCATACTGCGCTCCTGAGACAAGAAGAAGAGGTTCTGCAGGCCGAAGCCCCAACGCAGAAGACCAGATATCTTGATTGTATAACACTTCCTCACGGAATGCTCTTGGGACATTCACATGTATCAGTGATTTAGTCTACAACAATAATGGCAACAATAATGAAATATGTCTCTGTTCGTTCATTTAGGGATTCAAACATGTGTGTACAATTCGACTTTTCCTTTTAAAGAATCTCTTGACTCATAAGAAAAAACAGGCTTGACTTTATGACCCAAAAAAAAAATGTTTTTAACAGACCTGCATAGGAAAGTTTTGAGCAATAGAAGTAAGCACTTTAAGTGCTTCATCGCCACCCGCATCATTAGCGTCAACGACAGCTACCGCAGCTTGCATACTTAACGCCTGCATTTGCCACACCTTGAGCGGCGCTAATTCCTCGCTGGACTCAGATAAATGACGTCGGAATTTCTCTAAAGGTGAGCGCAGTCCAGGAAATAAATTCCTATAAAGATAATATACTTATAATAGATAAAGATAATAGAAATAAATCAGAAATTCAGTTTTAAAAAGCTATAATTACTTATGGTGTATTAAAAAGTGAAAATATACTTCAATGATTGATTACGTATTTTAAATAAATACTAATTTATTTTTATTTAATTACAAATGTATAGTTTTCAGATATTTCCCTACACTTGTAGTATAATAAGATATTACTTGCTAAATTTAATAGTCCTAGGTCAACAGGAAGTAGCCTATAAATTTTGATTCCCTTGAGTGTAGAAATATGCGTTTCTTGTTTTCATAAACGGCCGTACCTTTTTTTTACGCGAACTTAGAACTTGGTTTTTATAGCTTCAAGAGACTGTATAATAACCGATTATTTGGTTTTAGTAACAACTCGATACCTCCACGCCTTCCCGAGCTAAAGAGCCTTGAAAGGCAGACAGACGGAAGGACAGACAAATCAAATCAAATTGTTTATTTGTGATACCTGGGTTACATACAGGTGTTCATTAGATAATTATGATATGATGTTCATACCATGATCTGCCACTTGGGCAGACAAATCTGCCACTTGGACAAACGGACAACAAAGTGATCTTATAAGGGTTCCGTTTTTCCTTTTGCGGTACGGAACCCTGAAAAGTAGATTAAGATTGTGATTGCATAAATTAGCTTATATTACAACCATGGAGCAAATACAAAGAAATGTTATAATTAGATTTCCCTATGAAATAAATATGAATTATCGGGGTGACCACCTACCAAATAATAGCAAAATGACTTGCATCGTTCTATATCGATTTTGCTATTTAGTTTAGCTATCTCACACTAAGTGTTGGATGTAAGTGACGTACTCAGAATTTTCGTACCAGTGAGTTTATTTCTAAGATTAATTTTCTGAACTATCTAGATACTTACTTCTATTGCAAAAATCTTACTCATATTATAATAATGGGTATTGCAAGTGTAAGAATAAAAACGATGGTGGTAAATTACGAATGACGATTAAAATTTCTCTTATTTATTATTTTGTCTTTATTTATGTGTACGGCTTATCTTATTATCTTATTGTCACCTCACTACGGAGAAAAAGAGTGATATATTCACTGGTAGTTGAGTATACTTAATAATTTTGAAGTAGAACAAATTATTACAATTAATGTAATTTTATTTACAATTTAAAAAAAAAAATCAAATTAGGCATCGGAATGCACTTTTGAACGCCACGCTGAGAAAAAACAATTAATGAAAAACAAACGATACAATAACCAAAGCTTAAAATAACTTTCAATTAACTAAGCTACAACTCTTTTAATAGATGTCTTGCGGTAGAAAAATACTTTGAACATTTTACATAGACTATTTACTTTCAATGAGACTATATTTTATAAGGTATAACTCATAACTGACCATTTCTTCACATTACATCACATCAACATCCTTTTATATAGTCCACTGCTGGACATAGGCCTCTCCTTAGAAAGGAACCATTTCTTGGGTTGACTTTAACGATATTTTTTTTTGCAATTAGAATATCACTGTTAAATTACACATTTCGTAAAAATCTGCCAAGTATAATTTTCTTCATTTTCATACTAAAAGTACTTTATTAGATTAACATTGGATTCCAATTTCAGCTCTGTCTTTTTATTCTGTTTATGTATGTTGAATGCAGAACTGAATGCAGAACAAATTTCAGTATTATCTGACTTAAATTAAGCTTTACGTACCTTTATATTTTTAGTTTAAATTACACGAAGTTTAGTCATCTAGTGACGAATACAACTATATTTTAAAAAAAACTGATTTTTCCAGAACTATTTCAATAAATTAAGTACAAAACTACTCACAAATGAAATGAAACAAAACGTGTATCCGAATTATTTCAACACGATAAAATACTAAATGACATCCTTTTCTTCTTAATACCACTAAAATATATCGATTTGCGATTTTGAGACACAAGCACACAGTACGGACGGTGAGTGTACTTATTTTAAGCCACGCCCACTGTGATGACGTCAGGATCTACTTAGAATCACGGTGCACAGTTGCTTATGTCTCCTCTTTGTATTTCCATGATTAAAACTTTATTAAAGAATAAATATGTAATAAACTTACTTCAGTCTTCCGAAATTAAAACCGTCAATTTGGTTTTGGGGATCGTTTTCGTCTTCTTCTTCAGATGGAGCACTAGATTCTCCATCTTCAGATTCCTTTGGTGTAGAGTCATCTTGACTCTTATACTCTGTACTTTTTAGTTGTAGTTCCACTCCATAGCCCGATAGACGTACTTTTGGTTTGCTGCGCGGCTACAAGAAAGAACACAATTTTAAGAATTATTACTGTAGAACAGTTTTAATAGAACAATAGTGCATAATAAATCAAGGTGATAGACTACCACTTATTATGGTTGGCAAAGTATAGTATATCTTCTGTCTACCACTTTGAAGATAAAGAATAAAAAGTATAATAGTGTATGTATTAACAATAATTATTTTTCGCTTGGTAAAGTTCTGAGTTAAGGTTGGAACCGACATGCAAACGTGAATAAAACCTCATACTTACATCTTATATACAAAAATTCTATGTACGACTGTTCCTAATATGTACTTATATATCATTTTTTCGATCCTCATCGAATTATGCAAACAAGTTGCCAGAGATACAACAGAGGACATAATACTTTTCTTCCAGATAGAGATTTTGTTTATTTTTTCTTTAAGTACTGTACCATCTTGCCTACCTAACACATCACCTCTTACAATATGCGTTTGGTTATGTTCTAGAGTGGAAAGATCTATTTCTTATCGTTCCATGGATTCACCGTGCGGGTGCCGGGTCCATCGCGTGATAGATGGGGGCAACAGATGCGACTTCGACAGCGCCTGGGACTTGCGAATCATTTATAGGTTTAGGGAGTACTCGTCGCGACGCGTCAGTGCTCACCTCCACTGCTGTGTTACCCCCTCTACCTAACCATATTTGTTAAGAGCCTAGCAATGCCGCTTTGAATATTCGTTCAAGAAAAGAGATTGCTGAAGCTCTTGGCAATCCGAGGTCTTTAAGCAGGTTATAGAGGGATTTAGCTGGTATACCCCTCGCACTCACTTCCACGTCGTACAACGCAACGACATAATCATTTTTGGTTACTTCGTTGGTTAAGTCAAAGTACTTGTTTCTTCATCTGATGTTGCTAGCCCGAGCCACGACTTCAATGTCTTAGTGATTTTCGCATTTATATCATTCTAACCAAATGGCGCACAGTTACATTAATAAATATTTAGGTTCTCATTCATTTAGTACTGTTTAATGGTTATGTAATGATTAAAAATATAAACACCAACTAATGTACTAATTTCACAATATCAATTGAAAACTTTATATTATGAACTTATTACTTGAAATAAGTGACGTGTGTCCGTGTGGTGACGGATTAGGAATACAGGCTGTCACCACCGCTATTCATCCCGTGGGTGTCGTAAGAGTCGACTAAGGGAGGAAACTATGCAGAACAAGGAAACTGCAAGCACTGCAGAGAGAAGGAAAACTTAACAAAAGCCCTATACCAACCCGTCGGGCCAGCGTGGTATAGTAAGCCAAAACCTCCTTTCTAAGAAGAGGCCTATGCCCAGCGGTGGACTATTAAAGGCTGTTGATGATGATGATACTTAAAATAATTATTTTTCTCAACATAATATGTACTCAATGCGTTTTTTGGTCAATAAACTAAATAAACTCACCTTTATACTCCATCTTATTACATAGTTAATAGCTCCCTTGTCTGCATATGCTGACAGTATCTTGTGCTTGGTAGCAAAGTCTTTTGTTCCAAGTTCTCCATACAATATGGCAGTAAGACTTTTGTTGTCACTGCTTGGATATGAATGGTCAAGGAGATAGGTCTGCAACTTGTGTTCTTCCTAAAAATAAATTTCAAATAGTCTTTTTCGTTGAGCGTTCTTTTACAAACTCAATGTTATTTCTTTTTTTTATACTAATTTTTTTAGTTCTTGCCAGTGATAAAGGTATGTATGCGGCTTTGCATATGATTTCTAGTTCTCAATCATGGCAATGTAAAAAATGACCCTGGTCTAATAGCACCTTACAACCTGTCAGTAAATGCCAGACTGTACCTATTTCCGCACTGCACATCATATTAGCCTTTCCTATAACTTTTCCCCACCCACTAAGAAAGGATATCAACAAGAATTTGGACAAAGCTGTCATACTCCTATACCTTGCAAAAGTTAGAAGAAAATTATGGAAATAAAAGTATAAGTTGCATCCTTTTGGCGTAACTGACTATTAATTGTAACATTTTAAACTAAGTGTCACTCCTGAGTGGTTGTTTACACTTACCACATCATACTGACTATATGACTTAAGAATATCTGTTAGAGCATCATTATCACAAATATTTTTTGAAGCAATTGAGACAAAAGCTTCACAATTGATGTCTTTGGCACTGTTCTGTGTTGCAATCTGATCAAACATCCTGACTGTGGGCGAAGTAAGGTGCATAGAAAGTGCAAGCTTTGCCATCCGCAGTTGAGCTGGGGCCAACAGAGAGCTTGCAACATCAATGCATGCATCATACACTTGCTTATCAGTTTCTGAAATTATACAGTTTTATCAATGTAATTTATATACAGAGCTGGAGGAGTATGTAGACATTATACAGACAATTTTTACTGCCTCAAGAACAAAACACCAAGAGGCATCTTCAATAATCAACAGAATAATATGTAGGGTATCTGTAAATAATTACCAAGATAAAATAATATAATATACAATATCTCCCACACGGCCGTCTGATCCCAAACTAGGCAGAGCCTGTACTACAGTAACCAGACTGCTGATGAACATACTTATATATATTTTTAAATAGATACATATTATAGATCAGTTACACCAAGACAGAACAAATGACAGTGCTCATCACACAATATTTGTACTGAGTGAGAATCGAACCCACGACCTGCGGTTTAGCAGTCAGGGTCACTAACCACTAGACATCGAAGTAATCATAAATATACAATATTTAAAAAACTTATTTGTCTGAATGTTCTCAATAAAGAAAACTACATATGTTTGAAGCAAATAAATATTTATTACCATTACAAAGAAATGTAATAAATGTTTGTTTTAACTATACAGTGGTAGTCTATTTGTAAATTATTAGGAAATCATTCATACCCAGCCTTATTCCCTAAAAAAGTAGGTCTAACTCCATGTATGATAGCAACGAAAATATTTTCATAAAGACCTTAAAATATTTGAACAGGAATTCACAGTTTTTGACATTGAGGGTATTTCTGCTGGATTCCTAGTGGTCTTTTAATTATGAAATAAATCAGTTAAATTATAAACAAAGATTAAAATTCAATTTTTTTAACTTTTTTATTTTGTCTTGCATATTATTATTTTGTATTTTAATAGAGCATTAATTTATAAACCTTTAATTAACTGGATGTGAATTGTTTTCCCCATTGTCAAATGCAATGTTTAAAATTTCTTCTTCTTAAACTAGATTTTTAAATGCTAACCTCCCTAGATAACACACTAAAAGACAGAGTTTAGCAGCTAAATCTTATCTTAAATGGGTAGGTAATGTTTGATAACATATTCCATGAATGACATATACTAAACATTGTAAATAATAATTTACTTACCCAGTGAGTCTAAACCATATTTCAGCGAATTTATACCATCTACAAAAGACCAGAACAAATCGGCACTCTCGCCTGCAAGATATTCGGCAAGTTCTAAAACTATCGGCGTAGCTTCCCACTTCGCACTTACGAAAGTAGTCACAGACTTTGATTTCTTCTCATCACGTTTTAAAGTCTCGTTAGTACAAACGAAAGAAATAAAAACGTAAACTAAAATAACTAAAGTTATCATAAACCTGGTGGTTTTCATTATGAACAAATTATAGTTTTAAGTTGGCACTAGAATTAAAATGTTTAACTAAATAAAAATGTTACATTTACACTCTTTATGTATGGTCATACTTATCAAGGTTTTTATGAACGAACTAATACGTTAAGTTTATAAATTTCGGATAATAAGACTCATCCTTTCATAAGACAACACATCTACAACCTGCAACAGCGGACAGCCACCAATGACAGTTGAACACGGCATAATAGACAGTAATTTTCTGTATACCAAAACTGCGTTGCTTTGATTGGTTCATGTACCATTAATTAAATTTTAAGACCAATGGCACATAAATGTTTTCATTGACATTTTGTTTTCTGTAATTTGATTTGAATGTAATGATTTTTTAATTATTCGCTTTCAACAGCAGTTTCATAGACTTGGAATCGAAATCATCGTCATCGTTTTCCTCAATCTTAAAGTATTCACTTTGCTACCCTGCCTACGCCAGCTCATCCATACAGATTATTCCGTTGCGGGCAGGACTGTTTTATACTGAAAAATTCAAAGTTATAAGGGACCGTGGGAAGTTTGTCGATTGGTAAATTTGCTTTTGGGAATTCATTTGGTATGGAGTATTTTTCAAAATGGTGGAGAACTGTGTCCGGAGTCCGATCGTTCTATCGAATTAATGTTTTTTTTAAGAAGAGTTTACTGGACTTTAATGCATTTAGTATTTAAAATGTTTGAGTTAAAAAAAAAAAAAAAAAAAGTATTTAAAAACTAAAAAACACGCTTTTTATAAAACCAAAACTTTAAAAAATAGAAAATAAATTGTAAAAAAAAGCATTTGCCTGTTGTCAATAGTAAGAAGCACCCCACGCTTTTTTTTTCAAATTTATTTTCTATTTTTTAGTTTTTTTTAATTAGTGTATTGTCATCGGTCCTTGATAAATCTACAAAGTTTGAATGAATTCTGACCGTTTAAAGTCAGTCAAAATCACGCCCAAAAGAGTCGGTTACAAACATACAAACAAACATACAAGTGAAGCTAATATAAAGCGTGTAAAAAGATACCTCTACTGTGAATATTAAATTTTACAGCGTTAAACATTAAATTACAATGAGAACGAGCTGAGAGCAGCATGGGTTCTCGTCATTTGGTTTATATAAGTATTTAATAATATCGTTAAAATAGCATTTTTATTCGTTTTTTGAAAAAACATACCTAAAATAGCTAGTTTCCAAATATCGGAACCTGACGAGATAAACGTCAAGTAGTGAAGCTGTCACTGTCATTTTTAGTTTGCTGTCATACTTGTCAGTTAACGTAGAGTGAAGAACTGAATTATCTCAAAAGTTCTTTTTCTAAGATCTCAGATGGAATAAACTATTGACTATTATAAGCAAAAGTAAGTCTATGTTTTAAATATATAAAAATATAAGTGACCAAAGTTAATAGTATAACAGATCTAAGTTTTTTACACATCGTTATATGTCAAGCTCGAAAGGCGTTGATTCGTCGAGTATAATTTTAAATTATATCAGTTTTTTATAACTATGTTACTAACAATAAGGCAATTTATATATGACTCTTGTAAAATTGCATTTCTTTGTTTAATTTTTTAGGTTTAATTCGCTACAATGCAGTATACATCTGACGAGGCTTATGCTCGACTTATCAGTCACCATATGACAGTACCCCAAAGAATTCAGGTAACGAAACATTTATCGTTTTCGTAATAATGGAATGAACACTCGGAAGTAAAATTGTATTTACGAATGTAGATAGTTAATATAGCTATGCCACATACTTGGTTTAGTGTAGTAAAGTTAAAATCATAGTCATCCTATATATATATATATATATATATATTGTCATCCTAGTAACATAATATAGGTTTCAGAGATATTCCAACTTAGTATGTTGCTGTTCTTAGTTATTATATTTTTGCATATCTTTTAAGAGATACTTGCCTTGTGCTTATTTCATATCAATCATTAGATCTCTAAATTTTCATTTTACTAATTTTCAGCTTCTCTTTGTTTTTTTTTGTTCTATAAAATTCTAAGGTTTAAATATGTATGTGTGTCCAGTATCGATTTATAGTCTTAATCAGGGATTCCCAAACTATGTTGGTCAGGAGACCTTGTTTCTAAAATGAACTGATACCTTCGACCCCATAGCCAAATGACCACATGCTTATCTACTTGTTGAGTTTTTTAAAGGTACAACAATGATACTACCTACTAAAATATTAGTCATTCTTATAACAAGTTGGTACACATAACAGAAAATACAGTATCTTAAAAGTTTCAAATGAGAACTAGTGTTAATTAATAGAGGTTGATTTTTAGATCTCATATCCAAAATCAGTTTTTGTTTATGTCAACCACTAGGAATCGAATTTGGACCCTTAAGGGGTTGATATCTACCACTTTGGGAATCCTTGGTCTAAATGGAATTTCTTATCACCCTTTTTGATTACTCTAATTTTTATTATAACTATACCATTTAAGGCCACTGGTGATATAATGGATGAAGATCATGGTCCTAATGGACTTGTGAGGGGCTGGGACTACTCAAATGAGAAGTTTGATATGAAAGTGCCAGAAAGAATACTTGTTGTTGGACAAGATCAACATGTTGGTGAGTATTTGAAAATGTTTCCAATTGAAACAAGTCAATAAATTTCCTACAGCGGCAACCAAAAATATTCATTATCAGGTTAGAGGTAGAGGATAACAACAAATATTTTTAAGACATATTTGATTACTCTTCTGTAAAGTACAGCCAAAACCTTAAATCAAATACAGTTGCAACAGTCCATATATGTATATGTGTTCAAATCTAAAACAAGTTTTATATACCTACAGATAACATACATTTACAGCTACAGCTTACTAGAGTAAAATGATTATATTTGATTGTTCAGAGTTATTTGTAATTAAGTGCTTATGTTGGACTCAAACCAACTAAAAACCGCACACTGTCTCGGGACCCAGATGTCCACTATAATAATGTTTCCATCCTACTCTCGCTAAAGACAGACAAATGGCCACAACTGACGTCACGTTTTTGTGGTAACCCTTTAAATGCTCATATGGTCTTTCTGTGGAACTCTATAATAACATTTTGAAAAGTTGAAGCCATAAAATGAAACCCTTAAATGAACAAAAACATCTAAACCTCTTCAGAATGTTTACAGGTACCAAAGCACCACCAAGAGAAATTCAACTTGACAATGCAGTGCTGCCAACTGACCCTGGTATGATCAGAGTAAGCACGCCACCGCGTGTTATCACACTTGACCAGCACTACTTTCCTTCAGCTGATGACTTTCCACCAGAAGTTCAGAATCATTCCCCACCGAAGAATGTGAGAGCGTTCAGATCTCAGGGTGATGGTGCTCGTTCCACTACTCCTCGTCCTGACAACTTCAATGAATCAACTATGACTGAATCACGTTTGATGTTGAGGTATGTATGTTCACATTGTTACGATATATCATACTGACTGAGATTTTTTCACTTGTATTTTGCTGGCTATCTTGCAGTGCATGGATATAAATATAGATGTAATCCTTATTATAGAAATAATATTAGCAGTATGGGGGGTATGGGGTATGTGAGGGGGCGACCCACCATCTTTCGGCCCAAGCCAACTTCACCTGCCCGCGGTGCATCCTGCTACTGACTGATGGCGGTATGTCCATTCCAATAGGCGTAGCTAATTACAACAGGCCGGTGACGGGCAGCAGCGTCACCGGTGCGACAAGCTACGCCCTGCGATCGCCAGCGTGGTGATTATAGGCAAATCCTCCCCATGCAGAGGCAACAAAGGCCACGGCCCCAGTTCCCGGCGGCCCCGGTATTCCTGGTCATGGTGGCGATCACGGTAACGGCGGGGCAGGGCATGCGAAGAATATCCGGGCTACGGGAGGCCACCACAACCGACTGACCCTGGCTACGTACAACGGACGCACGCTACGGCTAGACTCGCATCTGGCGCAACTTGAAGTGGAACTTGGGAAGATTAGGTGGCATATCCTAGGGCTATGTGAAGTCCGAAGAGAGGGGGAGGACACCAAGGACACCACCACTTCCGCGAGTGAAACCAACAATCCCAAGGTGGCGTTGGGGTTTTGGTAAATAAGTCCCTTTTTAACAACGTTGTGGAAATTTAACGACGAGGTGGAGGATATGTACGATGACATATCGAGGGCCCTCCACTTCACAACTAAGACCCACTACAACGTCGATATGGGTGACTTCAAAGCTAAAGTGGGAGTACAGAATTGCGGCGAATCGGTATTAGGATCACATGGATTTGGAAGCAGGAATCATAGGAAGCAAATGCTGGTCAACATCTTCGAACGGGAGGCGCTCTTTTTGATGAACTCTTTCTTCAAGAAACAGCCTCTAAGGAAGTGGACGTAGCAAAGCCCCGACGTTATGACCAGAAATGAGATCGATTTCATCATGACGGATAGAAAGCCCATATTCAGAGACGTCTCGGTAATCAATAGGTTTAATACCGGTAGTGATCACCGACTTGTCCGGGGCTCTCTGAATATCAACTTTAAGGCTGAACGTGTCTGTTTGATGAAATCCAGGTTCCGACTAACTTTTCTCCAAGCCATGACAGGATCTGAAACGTTCCAGTCAATGCTGGAAAACCGATTCGCTGCCGTGGACACCATAACCGCCATAAACCAGAACCTCGACGACGTTATTTCGGATCCTCAGGGAAGAAGGTACGAGATTTTGTGAAATACAGCGTAAAGGCAGGAAGTCGAAGCTTTCAGAGGGGACCCTAGGGCTGATAAAGAAACGACGTGAAAACCCACCTGTCACTTTGTCGGCAAAGCGGTCTCTAAACCGAGAGATCAGTAAGCTCGTACGACACGACCACCGGTGCTCTTATACTCTTTCAATTGAAAGAGCGATCGAGCAGAATCGGGAGTCAAAAGTGTTCGTACAATCTCTTGGAAGAAGCCACCTGACAAAGTTGACCGCACCACAGCAAGTGAAGAAGTCGTTGCTTCGAAGCCCCGCAGTCCCTTTGGAAGTGGAAAGCATCTATGGCCGGTTATATGCTTCGCATGCATCTCGACCTGATCCCGAAAATGAGGACTCCAGAGCCACATTAACACGTCACTACACAGAAGGCCCGCCAGAAGTTAGCATTGACGGAATCGAGATGGCTCTTGGACAGCTGAGATATGGAAAAGCCCCTGGAGAAGATGGCGTTACAACAGAGCTACTGAAGGCCGGGGGTAAACCCGTACTAAGGAAGCTCCGAAAGCTCTTCAACGCTGTCCTGTTTAAAGGGAGAACTTCGGAAGCGTGGAGTAGGAGTATGGTCGTCTTGTTCTTCAAAAAGGGTGACAAGACCATGTTGAAGAACTATCGACCCACATCCCGTCTAAGACACGTCTACAAGCTGTTTTCGAGAGTCATCACGAACCGTCTTGCGCGAAGACTGGACGAATTCCAACCACCGGAGCAAGGTGGGTATTGGTATTGGTATTGGTTGTGGGCTTCGGTTTCCGCATTTAGACTCAGAGTGGTCCTTTATGCGTCGAGGATTGGTTGACTAGGTGAGCCAACCAAGCTCCTTCCAGAAGCGCAGAAGCCTCCTGGGGCGTTCACAGGCTTCTAGGAGCGACTTTATATCAGGAATGATACTTGCCCGTTGTGTGGCCACTCCCTCGCATTCCAGGACTACGTGGGCGGCCGTTTCTTCAGCTTCCAGACATCCCCTGCACAGGGGACTGTCCGTCGCATTGATTATGAATAGTTGTCGGTTCAGGGCTAGATGTCCTGTAATAGTTCCGACAACCATTCTGAGTTCCGGTCTGCTAAGACTGATCAATCTGCAGGTGAGTCGTGGTGTGACTTGATTCAGCACCAGTTTGGACTGTCTGCAGCCGGGTGAGTTTTTCCACCTCCGGTTGTGTGCTTCACAGGTCCGTTGCCTGACCCAGCATCGTATTTGGTTAAACGATATGGGCAGGAGTGGCGTTGGGCCAGAGGTTGGGGTTGCCGAGCCCCTCCTTGCCAACTCATCTGCGGCATCGTTCCCGTGTGAGTTACTGTGCCCTTTAATCCATTGGAGGAGTACCCCATTGAATATAGCGAGCTGTTCCAGTGCTTGGTGGCATTCGAAGACAATACCAGAGGTCATTGTGTTGCCCTCCAGTGCCTTTAAGACGGCCATGCTGTCGGATATTATTCGGATGTTGTAGTCCTTGATACCCCTTGACATGGCCGTTGTGGCAGCGTAAGTTATTGCCACACATTCACATTGAAATATGGAACTGTGTTGGCCTAACGCTAGTGATTTGTTTATATTTAGGTCTTGCGAGAAAACTCCGGCTCCAGTTCCTGACCTAGTCTTGGAACCGTCCGTGTAAATTCGGACTTCGTTAATGCCGGATTGATCTCGGTCATTTCCATGTATCTGGATGTAGTATCTTCTTGTGAAGATATGGTGTTTTGGGATTCTATCGCATGGAGCTGCTATCAGTGGTTCGTATTCCACTAATTGATCCCATAATTTGGAGTGCGATCCCTCACTTTTGTGCCATAGACCCAGGTGTTTGAGTCTAATGATCGCCATGGCGGCCTCCTGCTGTATGAATAGATCCAGGGGTGGCAGACCAAGAGCCACCTCCAGTGCGGCAGTAGGCGTTGTGCGCATACAGCCAGTGACCGCGGAACATGGAAGTCGCTGGAATTGCTGCAGTTTGTTTATGACGGTGCTAAGCTCTGTTCTCTGCCACCAGACAACAGCACCGTAAGTGATTATTGGTCTTATGACTGTCCTGTATAGCCATAAAGTGATTTTGGGTGATAGTCCCCAGCTTTTGCCGAGTAGCCGCTTGCATTGGCAGAAAATAATGCAGGCTTTATTCAGTTTTTCATCGAGGTGCATATTCCACAGGAGTTTACTGTCCAGTATTACTCCTAGGTATTTGACCTCTTTGGTAAGAGTAAGTTGTGTTCCAAATAGCTTAGGAAGTCTGAGATTTCCTAGGCTGCGTTTGTTTGTGAACATGATCATCTCTGTTTTGGATGGGTTCACTGTCAGGTTGTGTGCTACGCACCATTGTTCCACGATCTTCAGTGCAAGTCTCATTTGATCGCATGTAATGCTCTCAAAAGGACCGCTGATAAGAATAGTAAGATCGTCTGCATAGCCTATTGTGAGGAATCTTTGGTCATTAAGTTGTGCGATGAGCTCATCCACAACAATGTTCCATAGAAGAGGGGAGAGTACACCGCCCTGGGGGCAACCTCTAGCCACCACTCCTCTAGTCACTTCGCTCACAGTGAATTGAATAGCTCTATATCTTAGCATGCTATCGATCCACCCTGAGATTGTGGAATCAACACCATGCCTAGATAGAGCTTGGCTAATGCTGGTGAAGTTGGTCTTGTCAAAGGCTCCCTCGATATCGATAAAGGTAGCCAGTGTTGACCTTTTGTGATTTAGATTGTCTTCTATATATGAAACAACTCGATGTAGGGCAGATTCTGTTGATTTACCCATCGAGTATGCGTGTTGATTGAGGTGTAGAGGGTGACTGACTAACGCAGTTTCCCTGATTTCCCTATCTATTAGCCTCTCGAGAACCTTTAGTAGAAAAGATGTGAGACTAATAGGTCGGTGTGATTTGGGTTGTGTGTAGTCACCTTTACCAGGTTTGGGGATGAAGACTACTTTGACTTCTCTCCATTTCAAGGGGATGTACTGATGCGCCAGGCAGCCCCTATAAATTTTTACAAGATGGTCCAGTAGTGTCATATCACACCATCTCAGTAGGCCTGGGAAGACACCATCTAGTCCTGGCGCCTTGAATGGTAGGAAGCTGTTAATTGCCCATCTTAGTTTGTCATGATTGACAACTTTGCGGGCCGTATCCCAGTCTGTATCATCTGGTGGTTTTTCCCATCTGTCTTCCCATTTTTCCATCACATCTGAAATGCGACATCCAGGGAAGTGTGTTTTTAATAACAGCTCTGAGGCTTCCGAGTCTGTTTTGGTATACTCACCATCAGGCTTCTTCAGTGAGCCAAGATTGTGATCGCCTCTACTACACAGTATGCTTTTGACTCTATTAGCCTGGTTGTTGTTTTCTATGTTAGTACAGAAGTTTCTCCAGCACTCAGTTTTCCTGGTTCTGATTCTCTTCTTATATTGTTGTCGGGCCTGCGTGTAGGCATCCCAATGTTGGTCTAATCGCGAGTTTTTTGCTTTATTGAACAACTTTCTCACTTTACGACGTAGTCTTTCCAGTTCCGGACCCCACCATTGGTGTTTGTTCTGTGGTCCAGTTCTGGGTGTGGAAAGTGGGCATGTTTGTTCAAAGCTATCGATCAGTGTCTGTGTAAGGTTGACAACATGACTGTCAATGTCCTTAACAGTCCCCGTAGCATATGTTGGGTTGATGCTTCGCAGATTCTCCGCAGTA